CCCGAGAATCTTGGGCTGCTAACTCGTGGTGAAAGGCCATCTATGGCGCGGTGAAGAACGGAGATAGCTTGAAGGAGCGGGCGGATTGGCGAGTACTCTGGATCTCGTTTTCCTTGATTCTCGTCCTTATTGATGGACAATTGTTACGTCTCGCCGACTCCGATGTACGGTTCAAAGCTCCGGGTATCTTATGAGGGAGTTCAAAGCTCCGGTTCTAATAATAGTGAAATGCCGTTTTTGTGTAAAGGGCAAATGTGTAATTTAATCCATAAAAAGTCAAATTGGACAATAATTTTGGGACAAAATTTTTTAAGCAAAGTGGACAATAATTATGGGACGGAGGGAGTAAAAAGGACAACATTTTAGTTAGCTATCGCCTATCGCTAGTAAAGGTACTGATCAATCCTATTCTCTATGATCTATGAGAGTAATTTGATGAAAAGACATCCTTTGATGCTTTCACCTTTAGGTTCAATTCAACTGTTAAAAGTTAAAGACACTTAATTTGTCTTGAAATGATTATTTTGCTTGTATATTCATTTTGGAACATGAGAAATAGTTCAACTCATTACCAGGGAAAGGCAAATATAAATTATTAAGTACTCCCTCCGTCCCATAATTATTGTCCACTTTGCCCAAAAAATTTTGTCCCAAAATTATTGTCCAATTTGACTTTTTATGGATCAAGTTACACATTTGTCCTTAGTAAAAAACATTATCCATAAAATCTTAGTGGTTAAACAATTACTTATGTAAGGGTATATCCGGTTGTTTAAGGTAAAATATAGTTAAGTTTGACAAAAAATAAAATCTTTCATTTTAGTAAAACTGGACAATAATTATGGGACAGAGGGAGTATTATAAAACCGTCCGTCCCAAAAGAAAAAAAAGATCCATTACATCATGACATTATCCATTTTCTTCTTCCATGCACGATTTAACTTTTAGTGGGAGCGACGACGAATTGGAAAAAAGAAAAACAAAACTTTGCATAGATTTTGCACTGACTGTACGTAGAAATGCCATTTTATTTGATTCTTTAGGTTCCTACAAATGGTTTTTGCTAATGGATTCCTCAGTCTTCAATGTGCGTTTTCTTCTTTTTTTTTTTTTTTTTTTTATCTTTTGTCCCCTTACCCAAAGTGGGAGCAAAGTCATCTTTCCAATTACAAGAAACGCTCCCTGCAAAAAATAATAATAATAATAATAATAATAATAATAATAATAATAAATAATAAATAAATAAATAAATAAAAATGAGGCTTTCATTTCGTTTTGCTTATTGGAATTGGACACTTATATCTATTTTTATATCCCGTCATTTTGTATTTGTCGCCTTTTTGCGTCAATATTTTCCTTCATTAACCAAATTATGTAAACAGGTTAATTTTCTTTTTCATTATATATATATATATATATATATATATATATATCGTGTGTGTGACGCATTGATGCCAATTTCGTGCACGCAAAAGGTGAAACTCAGAGCCAACGTTACAGTCGATTTTGCTTTTTTTTTTTGGTTACTTTATAATCAAATTGGTGGTCACCACGGGAAGTTTGAAGAAAAGCAGTTGCTAGTTTCCACCTTTTGATACTTTGAAAGAAAGAACTAACTTTAATACGATTAACTTTCTACTAGTACTTTGGAAGTGTTCCAGTCCTTGGGAAAGATATTATCACTTCCGTCCCACAAAAATAGTTCACATTGAATTTTGAGTTTTGTATTGTTTTTAGTATAAATTTAAAAATTCAATGTGGACTATTTTTGTGGGACGGAGGTAGTGCTATGTTTGTCGTACTCTCTCCGTCCCATAATTATTGTCCAGTACTAAAAATGAAATCTCAAACTAGACAATAATTTTGGGACAGAGGGAGTATTTTTAGGTTGAAAATTAAGCAAGAGGACACCATTTTTTAAGATGGTGAAAGCGTTATTGTTAAAAAAGCTGTATGATCATGCATATGGATTTTAATTTTTTTCTGGAAGAAAAACAAATTCAGAAACGTTTATGTTCGATACTCAATTAATCATCAGAACCTTTTTTTTTTTTTCTTCTAATCTTGGAAAAAATAAATCAATTCTGAATTTGACTATGTTTCTGGAAACTGAAGTACAAAAACTTCAAACTACCTAAAATAATGCTTCCGGGCAACTATATACGTTGCTCATACTTCTACTTGATGCTTTCGGTTACCGGTTTTGTTTTGTTCTTTTTTCTTTTCTTTTTTGAGTTGCGTTATCTACGTAGGACGATGTTGGAATTAATGGTAAAGATGTATTTAAGCTTAAATGAATCTTTCAGTTTACATAACCTTAATAAGTACTCTCTCCATTCCTTATTATAAGGCATTTTGTTTTGTCCTAGATTTCACATATTCAATTAGAAAAAAATCTAAAGAATATATTTTCACATTTATTGTGTTCTTCTAATTATTAAGAAATAGTCAATCGAAAAAACATACTAAGTGAAACTTATGACAGATCAAAATCCTTTATAATAAAGATAGAATGGAGTATTTTCTAAAGTCTCTCCCACTAAGAAAATCAGTCAATAATAAAGCTTTTCTATAAAGGTTGCTTTTAGTTCTGAAATTGAAAGATCAATATTATACATGTATCAGGAGCCCCACTTAAATTAGTGATAAATTAGAAATACTATTATTATGAGTGACGATAGATTATGCTTCAAACCAAGAATTATGTTTAATGTAGCGCTATTTTTGTTAAAAAAAAAATCTATATTGAATTTTTAAATTTATACTTGTTTTTAGTATAAATCTCAAAACTTAAAGTAAACTGTTATTTTTGGGACAGATAATTCATAAAAAGGAACATTTGGGGGGTTCAGGTTTGCCTATGGATTTGCTAGCCATGTCTGAATCTAGTATTCTAGTTTAAGAACTAAATATAGTGCTACTAAAATTAGATTAAAACAAAGAAATTACAGGTAAGGAAATCATCTTTGTTCAACTAACAAACAACTCAAGTTAGTCAACCAAACCGATATGACATTGACACCCCAACTAATACATACTCCACGAAAAACTTACTTCAAAATGAATCAATTTTGTTGGTTCACTGGATCCAAATTGGACATTAAGAACGAAAAATATTGGGAAGGTTGTTAATTTTGGTACTACATTAAAAGAGAATTTTAGTAGAGGCAGGTGTAAAATACTTGCTTCCCAAAAGAAGAGGGGGGAAAAGGTCCAAACAGATTATAACAATAGATTTTTTAGAAGCTTCACCTTGGAGTAATGAATGACCTAATGAAAGACGTAAATTACACTTCGTATGGTCAAATATGTATATATCTATGTCAGTTTGTTCCCGTGTCTGCGTCTGCCTTAATGGCCAAAAGCCTCAAATCTCTTCCATATTCAAGCTAGTCGTACGTTTAAGGTGTTAACGAAAATACCCTCTTTGTTTATTTTTGGTTTAGTGCTTTGAGATTTGTGTTATACTTATGTTAAAATCTAACGTAAAATATGATAAATAATAGGTCTATACAAACAATCAATATTGTTTTACACGTGGTTAAAGATCTCGCACATCATAAATTTTAGAAATTACGATCACGATATTTTCAACCCATGTCCATTTTAGTTATTATATGATGTTTTTAAAGTTTAACTCACACTTTAATTACCTATTGTGAGATGAGATAGCAGCATATCAAAATCCTAGTAAATGGTACAAGGAATAGTGAGATCTATGAAAGTTATGACACAAATTATAAAGTCAATGTTCCAGACTAAAAAGAGTTGAATATTCTCATCATTTGCATCTTCATTCAACTTTAAAAGGAGAGAAGAAATGAATTCGGCTCTGTCTGTTTGCTTTTTTTTTTTTTTAATGATTTTTTCAATTTATTTTATTAATAACTGTCCCATCTCAGTATATCTTTTTATATTTTTAACATATTTTTTTTTACATTCTCAATACAAAAAACACTTAAAAAAAACGAACCAAACATAGCTTAATGTTCTGTTCCCAACATGCGAAGTAATGGTGTTTCAAAATTCCAATATGATAAAAAAAAAAAAAAAGCAAAACCTTCTGATCAATAAGAGATTACTAACTTTTAACAATAGAAAATCGTAGACCTAATGAGATTCTATATATCATGGGTCTGACCGTCTGAGGAGCCAAAGTCAAAAAGGAATGTAAGATAAATAGATCATTGTTGATTATTAGTAAACGATTAAACAAAATGCATTGCAGTTGCACCGCACAATTTGCCTCCAATTATTTAGATTTGAAGGGGGATTTGCCCATTCCAACTCTTCATGAATCTATTTCCCTAATTTATCCGACAGCCAGAATACAACGAGATACAAAATTGACTTCCCCTGTTCGGGCTAATTTGGTCAATAAATGAAAAAGAAAGGAAAAGAACGACCATAATGGAAAAACCATTATGACCGTCAAGACTCAAGACTTCAACATTAGACGGATTATAATTGAAATGTACATATTTTTTAATGACAATGGAGTGATAAATTTATCGCAGTGAGTGGCATCATTTTTTTGATCACACGTCTTGTAATATTACTTATTAACACGACTATCATTCTTTTAAAATCACAAGTCTTGTAATATTACTTATTAACACGACAAATATTCTACTGAAATTTAGTAACAATAACTAGTCCATCCAATTGATTAAACTCTATGAAACACATTAAAGGTGTTATACGCACAACAGAAATTCAAATGCAAAAGTTGCTCGAAAAGATTTACGAAATAGATAGCTACACATAACACAAACAAGACAGTTTGTGCTTTATATTTATTTAAATTAAGATCACGTAATCATAAAATAAATAAATTAATACTTTTTCGGTCCTAAAAAAAAAGTCTATTTTGATTAGATAATATCTAACCATGAAACGTAACATTAATATTCAAAATGATTATATTGACTTTTCTGACAAGCTAAAATGGCTATTTTTCAGCTCAACGACTATTTCTAAATTCTAACTGTCAACAAAGGCCAAAAACCCCTCCAAACCCCGCCAACTCCTCTCCTTCCTTTTTTTTGTGTAGTACAACCCCACCAAAACCATCTCGTACTCGTAGTCTAGTACAAAATTCCTTATTTCGTAAATACCGCTATCAATAAACCTATTTTCGTCCATCCAAATATTTCTCTCTCTCCGTTTACTTATATTACGCACAAATATTTGCTGTCTTTCCCAAACACTTCCTCCTTTGTTTCTTTTGTATAATCTACCTTTCCTCCCTCCCTCCCTCCACCCACGGTTTTGATTTTATTTTACGTAATTTTTTTTAATTAATTTTCTCCCACTTTCTCTCTCACTAATGCATTCAATTCCATTTGTCTACCTATAGATTAACCGATTCTGGAACCATAATTTTGGAATTTGTAGCATATTTTTGTTTTGGAATTATTGGGAATTTTTGATCGTTGATGTCGAGGATGGCGCCGGGTGGGAGGGACGTGCAGCTGACGCCGGCGAGAGGTTTTGCGGCGGAGGACGGGCGGGAGGATGACGACGGAGTCGGCGAGGAAGTTAGGCTGCTGGAGGAATATCTGGAGGAAGTGCAAATTAATAGTTCCTCCAGTGTTCCGGGGAATTTGAGGAGGATTCAGGTGAGAGTGACCGGCATGACGTGTGCTGCTTGTTCCAATTCCGTCGAAGCTGCTTTGATGGGAGTTGACGGTGTTGTTAAGGCTTCCGTTGCCCTACTCCAGAATCGTGCTGATGTTGTTTTTGATCCTAGCTTGGTTCAGGTTTAGTCTCCTTCCCGATCATCTTCTTGTTGGTTCTTCTAGTTTGTGAAAGTCTTTTTTGCTTCGAGGAGTTCAGTTAATTATGGTATATATGTTGGCTAATCAGGTGAAAATGTTTGGTAGTAATAGTTTGTTGCCATCTTTAATGTAGTACTAGTTTAGTGTCAGAATCTGATGGGAACTAATTTTTTTGGCTTGATGTCTGTAAGGAAATTGACTTTGCCACCGAACTCTCAGTCTGAGCTTCCAGCTAATACAAGCCAAAACAGAGTAAAATTAGTATAATTTTGAAATGCATACAGAGTAAGAAGCAGCATTTGGTGATCAAAACCCAAAATGACATTGCATTGCTCCTGATAGTTAGCTAGAGTTTGTGTGTTCTTAGGGTGTAAATATTACCTTGTAGTTTTTAATTTCATAACACTTGGTAGTATCTTTCTCCTAGGATGTAGATGTAAAGAATGCTATCGAGGATGCAGGATTTGAGGCAGACATTCTGGAGGAACCTACTACACCTAAAGCAAAGACGAATAGGACATTGGTAGGGCAATTTACAATTGGAGGAATGACATGTGCCGCCTGTGTTAATTCTGTTGAAGGTATTTTGAGAGGGCTTCCTGGTGTAAAAAGAGCTACGGTAGCTTTGGCTACTTCTCTAGGAGAGGTGGAATATGATCCATCAGTAATCAGCAAGGAGGAGATTGTCAATGCAATTGAGGATGCTGGCTTTGAGGGATCGTTTCTACAGAGCAATGAACAGGATAAAATCGTACTTGGGGCTCTTGGGATATCAAGTGATATTGATGCACAACATCTAGAGGGAATTTTATGTGGTTTAAAGGGAGTCAGACAGTTCCGTCTTGACCGGAAGTTGAAAGAGTTGGAAGTTGTTTTTGATCCGGAAGTCCTTGGCTGTAGATCGTTGGTTGATGGTCTTGAAGAAGGTAGCAGCGGGAAGTTTAAGTTGTTTGTCAAGAACCCCTACACGAGAATGTCATCCAAAGATCTAGCTGAGTCATCAAAGATGCTTAGGCTTTTTTCTGCAAGCTTCTTTCTCAGTGTGAGTTGGTTTTCCATTTTTCCTGTTTAATGATGGAATTACTCAGCTTCTGGGGGTTTCTTTACTTTTTCAGTCCCTAGTTACATCTTTTATAAGATCAAACCCGTTCTAATTTTAATTGTCTGCTTTCTGCATCCGTGCGGGTTTTAATTCAAATTAAATTTTATCATGTGTTAGATTAAGTGTCCTGCATTAGGTTTTTTCTCTCTTCTGGAAATTTTCTTGAAGATACTATGTTCAATACTTGATTCTCCACTAATCAATTTTTGTACCTAAAATTCCCTTTATCCAAGTAAATCACTGGTCGGATTGTAATTGCAATTATGTGCTCTATGAAGAGCTAATTTGGTGGTTAGATTTTTTTAATCTTTTTTCGGGAAATATTTTTTTTTCTAATTAACTACGCCCTTTTGCCAATTATATTCTTATGGAGAATGGTGTTTTTTCTTATCATTTTAGCATGTCCTGTAATGTATCTAATGTATGTACTTTGAGGTGGTTTGAAGTAAATTGAATTTATAATCCCTGAGAAAGCACAAAAATGTAACAGCGATTGTTGTTTGCTAAAGAGTTATCGTGCAATTCACTTTGCTCTCTTTGTTCACCTTATGTTTTAACTCGTGGTCTACTGCATCAGGTTCCTGTCATTTTCATGCGAGTTGTCTGTCCTCACATACCTGTCTTGTATTCTTTACTACTCCGGCGATGTGGCCCCTTCCAAATGGGTGATTGGTTGAAATGGGCATTGGTAACTGTTGTTCAATTTGTTATTGGCAAGCGCTTTTATGTTGCAGCTGGCAGAGCGCTTCGAAATGGGTCAACAAACATGGATGTCTTGGTTGCACTTGGGACTTCAGCGTCATACTTTTACTCTGTATATGCCCTACTCTACGGTGCACTCACTGGGTTTTGGTCCCCTACTTACTTTGAAACAAGTGCAATGCTGATAACCTTCGTGCTTTTAGGCAAGTACTTGGAAACTGTTGCAAAAGGAAAGACGTCTGATGCTATAAAGAAGCTGGTGGAGCTGGCACCCGCAACAGCAACCCTACTTCTTAAAGACCGAGGTATAGTTTTCAACAGGCATTATATGGATGACATGAAGAAGCAGATTTTATCTGTTAAGTTTATGCACTGATAGAATCATAAACTGTAGGTTGTTAGTTGAGTACAAAGGATTGATATAGAAAACTGTGTAAGAAGGAAGGGCGGATAGTGCTGCTTAAAACCCCGCCTTAATAATTTTTATTGAACCTGTTCTCTCAGATGGAAAAGTTGTAGCAGAAAGACAAATTGATGCATTGCTGATTCAACCTGGTGATGAACTAAAAGTGCTTCCTGGTGCAAAGATTCCTGTAGATGGTGTGGTTTCTTGGGGTTCTAGTTATGTTAATGAGAGTATGATTACGGGTGAATCTGTTCCAGTTTCCAAAGAAGTGAGCTCAACAGTCATTGGTGGCACAATAAATTTACATGGATCGCTCCATGTAAAGGCCATGAAAGTGGGTTCAAACACCGTCTTGAGCCAGATTATCACTCTGGTTGAGACTGCACAGATGTCAAAAGCTCCCATTCAGAAATTTGCTGATTATGTAAGCATCATTTTCACTTCAATTATTTTTTTTATGACACGTGGGAACTGGGTTCTGGGGTGTAAGTACTTTGAAACACTGTTGGCACTTCTGCTCTCTGAATAGCCATCATAAATCTTTAAGAATAACTGACTAGGACCCGGCGCACTGGAACTTGTATAAATGACAGATGGCATGCTTTGGCCCCAGAATAGAACACGTGTAATGTGATCTATAAGAGGAAAGCTTTAGTAACAATGGGACACTAGGACAGCGGGTTATAGACATTTTTGACAAGTTAATGTCTTAAGAACTAAGCGGCAGGATGTTTTTTGTAGCCGCCTTGCCTTTTTCTTTGGTTTGTTCTAATAACTGATTGCTCGCTTTTAAGACTTGACTTTAGGTTGTCATTTTTTCGTTTCAAGTTTCTCATTCCTGGAAAGTCCCATGAAACGATCAACAAGCAGTTGAAATTGAAAATTACTGATACTTTTTGGAAGATCTGATTGTATGTGGATGAAAACACATAACTAGTGGCAAGGAAACTGAGATAGTGACTCAGTTGATACCTTATATGAGCACCTTAAGTATTTAATATCATTATCTATGACACCTTATACTCATTTATGGTTCTTATTTGTAATTCCTTTGATGCAGATTGCTAGTATTTTTGTCCCTGCTGTTGTTTCTATGGCATTTCTGACATTGTTGGGATGGTGAGTTACGACGGCTTTTTTCCACCACTAACGAATTAGATTTCTTTTGAGCTGGTATTAGATGATATGGGATATTAGTAATTGTGCTTTCGTTATTTCAGGTATTTTGCTGGGGTGTTTGGTGCCTTCCCTGCTGCGTGGTTACCGGAAAATGGAAGTTTCTTTGTTTTTGCACTTATGTTTTCCATATCGGTGGTGGTAATAGCATGCCCATGTGCACTTGGTCTGGCAACTCCAACTGCTGTTATGGTTTCAACGGGTGTTGGAGCTTCTAATGGTGTGCTTATAAAAGGAGGAGATGCACTGGAGAGGGCGCAAAAGATAAAGTATGTGATATTTGATAAGACAGGAACGTTAACCCAAGGAAAAGCCAAGGTTACTACTGCGAAATTATTTACGGGAATGGACCGTGGAGAATTCCTCACTTTCGTGGCTTCTGCAGAGGTAACTTCTTCTTGGGAGATTGTTTAGAAATTAAGTTTCTACTTGTCTTGTCAACTCTCTGCTCAGTGTTAGGAGCTTGGAGCAGCAGCACCTTTCATTTTTTATAGTTGCATTAAAGTAAATGGGAGATGGAAAGCAATGTCTGCTTGTTATCATCTAACAAATTCTGTTGTAATGGCTCCTTTTTGTGTTCTTATTTTCTAGGCAAGCAGTGAACACCCATTGGGTAAGGCCATTGTGGAATATGCTCGTCATTTCCATTTCTTCGATGAGCAGTATTCTACAAAGGATGCCCAAGATCATGGAATGGATACGAAGTTCCCTGGATGGCTTCTAGATGTTTCAGATTTTTCTGCTGTGCCTGGGAAAGGTGTAAAGTGCTTTATAAATGGAAAGCAGATCCTGGTAAGTTTTTCACTTATGGGGATACTCAATGGTCTAATGAAGAGATGTTCTGTAGTTTGTGGAGTTCCACTAGGCCTCTTATCTTTATGATATCATGGTTCTGTGCTTTGCTGATTGGAGATTTTGCAAATCCGAATAGGTGGGAAACCGGAAGCTAATGATTGAAAGTGGGGTTGTCATACCGACGCACGCAGAAACTTTTGTTGTGGAGTTAGAAGAAAGTGCTATCACAGGCGTGCTTGTTGCTTATGATAATATTCTTGCTGGGGTACTTGGTGTAGCGGACCCATTAAAGAGAGAAGCTGCTGTGGTCATTGAGGGCCTAACCAAAATGGGTGTCCAACCTGTTATGGTTACTGGTGATAACTGGAGAACAGCTAGGGCTGTTGCCAGGGAGGTATGTGTTTTAAGTGATATTTGTATTTGTAGGTTTTCATTGATCTCTCTCTCTCTCTCTCTCTCTCTCTCTCTCTCTCTCTGAATATTGCTTTCCAATTGGGATGGGAAGCCTTCTGTACAGTTGCATAAATTGTGCCATGTGGCTTGAATTTGGGATTTTGGGTTACATATTTGAGTAGTGGCAGCAATCTCTTGTGGAGATCTAATGTACATTACATGATAACATAGATAAGGCCCTAATGGCCCATCCTGTTTCCAGATCTGACACATGCATGAATCCTTTACCTCTGTGGCTCCCTTCTTCTATAAATAAAAAGCTAGAAGAACTGCTTATTTACAAGTAGCCAATCTGACATCTGTGTAGAGGAAATCGGGCAGAATATAATCTAAAGATACTTTTCCGTATAGCTGCTTTCCTAACTCTTAGCAAGGTGGAAGAAAGGTCAGTGATAGTGGTATTTTGGGAGAGGGCATGGTTCTTGTAAAAGAGATATTTTGAAGGGGGCTGCAAAGATAACTGTAGTCAGAATGTTGGCGCTGGATAATGGTTATTTCAATGACCAAGATTACGGAAGGTGGTTAACCAAGTATTGATTTTACTTTTGGAGCCATCCGGCATTTTCAATTTTCTCTTATCTTGATTCTTTTGAGGATCAAGTGCTATAAATCTTGATGGAGGTATCGCTTTATGTCAGGCCATAGGTATGATTATCAGGTTGGCATGTCACAGATTAAATTTCGATCTTTTTTTTTTGGCGGGGGAGTTTATCTGGTGTTGGTGATGAATGGAATTCTTTTTCAGTTTCAACTTAATTTGAGATTTAATTCTGAAGTTGCTGATACGAAAGAGATGAGGCACCTGTCATTCAAGATGTCTGCGATTATAGATGTTACTCCTTCTGTCCCAAAAAAGTAGTCCACATTTAGTTTTGAGATGATTACTATTGGCCCTTGCCCAGTGAATCTTCGTCATGGAAAATCAGATACTGAGGAGAGAGGGTTAGATTGTTAACATTTGAAATCAGGAATTCAGCCTTTCTATTTATTACGTAATTTTGATATCCGTGACTGCTACTCTTCTTCTTTTTTCCTGGGTTCACCATGCTCGTTTGCTTTCGTTTGCTTTTCTCTTAGATAAATCTTTTGTGCTATACAGGTTGGCATCCAAGATGTAAGGGCAGAGGTTATGCCAGCTGGAAAAGCTGATGTTGTCCATTCATTCCAGAAAAATGGGTGTGTAGTTGCAATGGTTGGCGATGGAATAAATGACTCGCCTGCCCTGGCAGCTGCCGACGTTGGTATGGCAATTGGTGCAGGAACTGATATTGCGGTAGAGGCTGCTGACTTTGTTTTAATGAGGAACAATTTGGAGGATGTCATCACTGCAATAGACCTCTCTAGGAAGACATTTACCCGTATTCGGTTGAATTACATCTTTGCCATGGCTTACAATGTGGTGGCTATACCTGTTGCTGCCGGGGTTTTCTTTCCATGGTTAAGAATAGAGTTGCCACCCTGGCTAGCTGGTGCATGTATGGCCCTCTCCTCAGTAAGTGTTGTCTGTTCTTCCTTGCTTCTTAGGAGATACAGAAAGCCAAGACTTACGACCATACTGGAGATAACTGTAGAGTAGAGATCAGACTAGGAAGTGAAGTAAAGATTCTTGCCTTGATTATTAGATGAGGTCGCCATTGTTGATGAGGTGGTGTGGGAATCTAGTCCCTGGTTCTTATGAGAGGATTCAGAAAAACCTCATGACTCCCTGACAGTGTGTGGAGATTAGGTTGGAAAATAGGATAACAGAAAGCAGGTATGAATGGCGTAAACATCAAAAACTGAACGATGAGGTGCACCTGCGATACGGAGGTGCAAGCTCAACGCCTGTAAGGAAGAATAGATGATGAGAAAGACCAAATGAAGGGGAAAAAGCAATATGAAGGAAACTGAATGCTCCTGCATCGAACTCTTGAGGCTAAACCTGGTACAGATTTTTGCTAGCTTCGCTAATTTTTGTTTGTCTTTCAAGCTTGTCTTGCTTCGTTATTTTTTTTTTCCTGGGTAGAGTTTATTCCATTGTCTGATATGTAAATGCCGCATGACAAACCATGCTCCATGCTCTTGATTCCTTTTTCCCTTTTCCTCGTTTTCGTGTAAAATTTTACTCCATTTCAAGAAATGAAAAACTCTACCTCCCCATTGCTTGTATATTTGTTTGGGAGTTGGGAGTTTCTAAGGCTCTTTATTGATGCTGTGAGTGAAAACCCAAATTGGACAATAATTATAGGACGCTAAACTGGACAATAATTATAGGACGGAATGAGTATATAACTGGCCTAAATACTACAAACTTGAGATTATTGAAATTACGAGCTCGTCCAAGATGTGTACGTCCAAGTAACCATTACCTCAGCAGTATTGATGCAAGCATCTGAAGGGGATATTCCAGATAATAATCAGTATATATCTTTGCACGTCGAGATCCGCCCGAGTGTCAATATCTACTCATAACATTGTACAGTTAAAAATAACACCTTTCTGCTGATTCTCTCATTCAATTAATATTTCCTTCGCGTAGTTATAATAAGAAGTGTATTATAGTCAGTGAGTGAGTTCCATGCAATATAGTTTTGTGCTATTTTTTATTTTTAAATAGTATTTAATACTTGCTCCGTCCCATAATTATTGTTCTGTTTAAGTTTTTGTTTTTAGTTTAAATTGTACTAAAAGTGAAAATCCAAACTGGACAATAAATATGGGATGGAGGGAGTAGTACTTTTTTTTCTTTTAAAAAAAATTATGTAGTTTCATCGCATACAAAAGCAGATCATAAATAAAGCTACCACTTACGTCATCGTGAGCCAAACTAAATACAAAATATGGGCATGATCAATCGAGTAAAAATATTTTCAAACACTGGTAGTTGCATGGATAATAATTAACCAATGGATTGCTAAATATTGGTGGGAGATACAAAATAAAGTATTTCCTCCGTCTCGAAATTATTGTGTTTTTAATTTTAATATAAATTGAACTAAAATGAAAATTTAAACTGGATAATAAGTTTGGAATAGAAGAGTTTAAAGGACTATTTAAGAGCTAATGTGGATCAAACTTGAAACTATCACAAACGTAGGTAATACGGTTCGCCAACTGCAAATTCGCCCATGAGTATTATATACATGACTTAAATTTTCAAATACTTGATTTCAATTTTAGCGGGCTTCAACTTTTTATTTCTCGAAATTGCAACTAGGCATGCTTATCATCACTACTAGATCAGATTGGACTTTTATTCTTTTATTGTTTTAATTTTATAGAATGTGATACAAAATACTATAATACATGTATCATTGAATCATTTCTTAATAAAAGACATTTTGATTGTCTTCGGTTTCACCTAATACGCGTTTTTTATTGACGGAAAAACTTAAACGTATATTTTTACATTCATTGTATTCTTTTAATTGTTATGAAATATTTTAAAATTTTTTTTGTCAATTAAAAATATGTACTCGATTAAATTTAAGACAAATCAAAATGCCTTATATTAAGGAGCAGAAGGAGTATATCGCATTACAGATCAACAACTCGGCAGGGTTTGCCAAAGTTTGTACAACCAAGTTTCGCAGAATAGTAGTCGGTTGGACTGAGTGAAAATTAAGCAAACATGATTGACTAGCTGTCTGAATGTGAACTCAAGAACATTATCCGTTAGCATTCAACAATCTGAGGGTTGACTAGGTAGTCCAAAGAGCCAAAAAGTATCACATCTGATTTTCTTTTGTTCATTTTCTTGATAGTTTTTTTTTTAAATTAAAATATTAATAATTGTTCCATTTTATTATACCTTTTTATATTTTCAATACACATTTTTATATTCCCAATAAAAAAATACTTAAAAATACACATTAAAAAACCAAACAAACATAAGCGTTTTGAGTCTTTTCTCTAGTGGGAAATTATTAACTCGTGACAATAGAGGAAACTTCTCGGTAATGTTCTTCGGCAGAGCAAGAAACAATAGTATTCATAGGTCAGAAGGTAGAAGATATGTGAAGATAATATTGTCTCCCTTATGTAAACATGTTTGAAATTCGAGCATGCATTGAGAATTAAAAATTGTTGGGATACACTTACCTACTAAAAGAGGCCATTCCGAGCTTGATGAGTATAAGTAAGGTATGCGTCTGAGACATGATCATGTATATTGGTTATTTTAAATTGGTACGTTAATGGAGGAAATTTCATATTATAATTAACCAATTTCACTAGAATGTTTTTTCTTTCAGTTGAATTGTAGAACGGTAGTTATCAGGTACATTTATAGGTGCTTAATAGAAAAAAGAAAAAAGTAAATATATAAGTGCTTATGACATAAAAGGAAGAACTATCGTCAAATTTTTATTTTTATTTTTTGGGAGAGATCCCATTGCAGTTCTTATATATTTACTCAATTTATTACTATAACATATTACAATTTTGTTTTGGCAAATGTGGCAGGGCAAAATTGATTTTTTTTTTTTTTTTTTTGGTTGCATTGCCCTATTAAAAGAGTTACCTAGCAAGCCATCCACATTTAGTCAAATCTCGAACAAGAAAGTTCAAGATTAATATGCATCGGTTCTTAACTCCCTGTAACAATTTTGTTGTACGTTTCTAAAACACAAGAGTGATCCGTTTCTTTCGAATGGAAATATAATTTTTAATTTTTTTTTCAAATTGAATCAAAACCATAACAACCAATAGAGTTACCTTCGGAGAAAAACGGGTGCATGTATCAAAATTTGGTGAATGGTAACATGTGATACAACAGTATTACTACAACAAATCTAATTCTTGGCTGCTTTCAAAACAAGCCATCCGCAGAAAAATCTAAGCAAATCGTACCTGGGAAGGATAAGATTTATTGAAAACATTTTGGTCAAAGAAATGTACTAGAACTTGCTTTGTGTTAAAAAGAAGTCATTTCAAGTTCTCCTTGATATGAAAACAAAAGTTATGAGGCATTTCAGTCAGTCACACCCACCCACTACAAAGGAAAATTGGGACTCCAGTAGTAGAAAAAGTAGTCTTCCATTAAACAGGTATCGTATGTTAACATTTGCGTATAGATATTGTTGAAGAGGGCCACTTTTGTGTTTTAGAAACATAAATTCAAAAACAGAAAAGGAAAGAAAAGAAAAGAAAAAAGGGGTGGTGAAAAAGAGAAACTTATGTATGCTTTCGGAAGGTTTAATTTTGGAACAATGATGACAATATGTTTTGACATGCTAGTTATCTTTGTTCACAGTTCATTTAATTGTGAGTTGGGGTATTAATCAAATTTTTTAAAAGTTCGATAATATTAAAAGATGGGATTTGTCGATTTCGTAAATATTGTTACACAAAAAGTGGAACTTAAAATCCTTGCCCAAAAGTTCTAACCAATTTAAAACTTTTAATTAATAATTTCAAGCCTATAAATTATTAATATGAAGTTCATATTTTTCTTCCAAGGGACACATCTCAACTAAAGACCAAGATCCGTTGGTATTAGGTGTACAAATTTATTACGTGATACAACAAGCATACAAACATTGCATGGCCACAAAAGATTTTCTGACAGTGGAATCGCATTTTTTCTAAGTGTTCATATAAAACAACGATTAATCCATCTTCTTAAATTATATAAGTACCTTGCGATTTTGAATACACACGCGACTAAGCGAATTCATTTGGACACTAATTAACAATCAAGGGTACGAAATCTGCCTTTATATCTTCATGTGTTACCTTGCATGTCTTTTTATTTATAGATAGATCAGAATTTAATAAATTAATTAATTCTTTTGATTCACGTCAAGGCATGCGTCAATAAATAAATGAAAGCCATGTGATGTGAAATATGAAAGCAAAGAGGAATTTAGTGAAAACTACTAATATCATGACCCTAAAGTTATTTTAGATCTCTACATTTTAACATGAGAAATCGACACATATCATGACTCATGCGTACTTTTCAGAATGACATATGTGATTATGTCATTCACTAATTTATCAACATCCGATACGATAAAATTCGTTATACGTGTGTCATAAAAAATGCAATTTAATTGTAAGTTTAATCATAACACGTCAAGAAAACTTTTTCTTTGGGAGAGTTTTGTTTTCTGAAGATAAAAGCTCACTTAACCTGAATATAAATTAATTGGGATAGTAATTTTAAACATCGGATTAAATTCTTAAAAAATATTCATTCTATTCTAAAATAATTATCTAGTTTGTACTATCAATTCAAATTCCATAATCATTTTGACACATATAGTAATTATCATTAATTCTTTTGGCATTCAATAAAGTTATTCAAATCCAACCCCAGCGCACCCCTACCTCCCGTCAACAATCGTATTGAAAAAAAAAGATGTTATTTCCAGGAAGCTAGCTAGAGAGTCACTGATCACAATCCTATTTGTCAATATCAACTAAAATAACTGGTCAATTGCTTCGTTTGAAAGTTTTTAATCCAAATCAAATCAAGCTCAGATCACCAAAATCTTGAGATCCCTCACCGGTGTATTTAAAGGTAAGAGCCCATGTTCAGTATTTTCTCGAGCTCATATTTTAACCAAAATAACGTTGAGAAATCTGTAATTAATTAGTATTATCTGAATGATGAATACTACTACTACTACTACTACTACTATTCCTAGTAAGGAATCACAAGTACTTCCAATCCCAGATGAATGGCTGGATTACTTCTATCACCAGCAATTTAACGGCGTCAACAATTTCGACGTTCCTTTTGCCGGAACTGCCGTTTCCGAGGATTCCGGCTTCGGAGATAAAACCATTGGCTTCTTTGATGCTCCCGGCTCGGATGCAGCCGCGGGTACCGAGAGATCAGCCGCCGCCAGCTCCGCTACGGTGATCAGTCTTGAGAATTCAGCAACGGCGGCGGGTGATGACAGTAATAATAATGTGGATTTGAGCCCAAAAGGTGGTATAGGGAAACAAGTGAAAAGGAGGACGAGGGCTTCCAGGCGGACGCCGACGACTTTAGTCAACTCCAGCATCAAGAATTTCCGATCAGTTGTTCAGCAGTACACTGGTTTCCGGAGTTCAACTGCGTCAGGGTTCAACAGCGTCGACGGAAAAGGGCCCATCACCTTGAACTTTGGTGCGCCCCAATGATCGGAATAAACGATTCTCCGGTTAAGTTCTTCAAATTATCATGTTCGAAATGACTGACATTTCAAATTTTCTAATCTGCTAAACTGTTGATTCCACATTGCATGGACTAATTGCTAAACTGTGGGCGTATTTTGGGTCAAAGGCTGCCGATGGACATTTGCCTGCGGGTGCGGCGCGTTAATTCCTCACAAAAATTAGCGAGGGGTTTATCCTTCGGATTTAATGTATCGTTTTTTCGAGTAACATATGTATATCTAGCAATTTTTGTTCTTTATTCACAATTAATTGAATTTTCATTTTTATGCTTATGGTCTAATGAAACGGTGAGTAAAAGTAAGTGATGTAGGCGTTAAACAGTTAAATAGTCTTATTACAAATCCGAAGAGTCTTACAAAAGAATTTTCGCTCGTAATTGAAAGAAAATTCTTCCCGAAGATTTTTTTTTTTTTTGGTACATATTTTTGTTGCCCTACATGCACCCAATATTTACGGTATTATTTTCGAGCAATTGTTGCAGTTTTATTTTTAGTGCAGCGGATTAATCAAAATGTGTACGTTTATGATTTCTTATTTATGCCCAAAATTAACCTTTTTTTTGGGTATAAACCTCTCATAATCATATTTGTACTCAAGTATCTTTTGCTTCCTTGACTTTTTGGATTTGCGTGAAGAACTCATACTCCCGAAGTTTAAAAGGGAAAGGAGAAAAAAGAACTACTCCTTGCATTTGACGAATCTTGAATTTGTACGGTGTTTAGGACGGGCGGCGATGATGATCTAAGCGGCGGCAGACGGCCTAAAACCTACAAGATATAGCCCCGGGTGTCTCCCGAGGGTAGACTCTCCGATGCTTAAATCAATAAGGGAATAAAGAGAATAGAGAGAGAAGGATGCGTATCGTGTGTAGAAGGTGTAGAAGATAGGTAAAATATATGAATTATTGGAGAGGTACCACCTCTTTATATAGAGGTGATGTTACCTGTTTCCTGAAACCCTAGCGGAATAGGTTTAGTCGGTGATTTAATCTCCAAGTAACCTAATCCTAGCTAGGCCCAATAGGCCTAGGGTTTAATTCTGACTCGTCAAGTGCCCCGAGCAAGCCATATTCTCGAGACTTGCCAAGAAGAATATGGGTTGCTACGAGTGTTGATGTCTTCTCGAGTGTTGCCACCGTTCTTGAACTCTTTTGTTCTCAGGTGTCACATATATAAGATAAAGAGAGTAGGATGCCTCGATGAGGTCTTTATTGTTAGAGAGTTCCTTTGTTGCCCGGTGGACCGCGAGAATCCTTGTTTGCGCGGTGGACCACGAGAATCCTTGTTTGCACGGTGGACTGCGAGTATCCTCGTTTGCACGTGGATCGCGAGAATCCTTGTTTGCGCGGTGGACCGCGAGTATCATGTTTGCGTGGTGGACCGCGAGAATCCTTGTTTGCACGGTGGACCGCAAGTGTGTAGATCATTGAGATGCAATACAAGATAATAATGACATATGATCCCTCAAATTCCTTGCCCAAGGGTATGTCCCCGATTGTGCCCCAGAGTACGTTGTCCTCGTTGAAGAGTGATAGGGTTTTACCGCGAGAGGGTTGATAATTTGAAGAACTCCTTTAATCGTGCTCAAAAAGATATCGTGACATGGTAGTAATATGATAATGATATCAGCAGTAGATTGATTTAGATTCGAGAAATATATTAAAAAAGGTTTGAGATGTACCTCGGTTTCGAGTTAAATTGATTACTCGAGAAGGTGTTACCTCGATTCCGAGAAGGTATTATTTGAGTAGATGAAAGTCGAGATACGTCTTCTCCAATACTTCGAGTAGTAGTAAGGTACTCGAGGGATGCTTGTCCCTTCGAGGAGATGTATCTTCTCGAACACTTCATGTAGTAATATGGTGCCCGAGGGATTGTTGCCCCTTCGAGGATATGTATCTCTCGAAACTCCAATCTTTGAGATTGCTCCTTGCTAATTATTCTTCTCGATCAGCTGTGGAACAAGTGCAGCTCCTCGATTATTTGTGCAATCAAAAACTTCTTTGTGCTACTTGTCGGCTGACGTCTTCTTGGCCAAATAACAAGCCGTCATCACACTAGTCAGATATTAATTACATACTTAATACAATTACTAGTAGTAAAGTAGCAAGTAGGGTCGATCCCACAGAGAAGGTTACCAAGTACCGGTTAAAACTATTTCTTATTATTATTTAGATTAACAATTTATCAATTTTAAACTATTCTAAACCTAAAACTAACAATTGCAATTATTTAAAGATATAAATAAGTAAAAGAAAAACCTAGGGTAAATGGTTCACCAACCGACTATTTAGTTTAACTCAACATATAGATATGTGACTTTGGACTTTCATTAATCTCACAACGATTCACCTATTTAAGAACTATTCACTGTCATGATATAATTCTCTTATTCAAACTAACCCTATGACTACTGTCGTGACCATAGGATTTAATTAGAGTACATTAAGAACCCTAGAATCTGTAGCTGCAAAGACGGTGTTCCTACTATCGTGGTCTGCAATCTAAGTTTAATATTCCTATGAACTAGTGCTAACCTTCAACCATCGTTCCTTCAGTTAAACACCTTTAAAGCATGCAAGTGGTGATTAAATACTCACATGGAATAAAAACAAGAATATTAAATATCAACTAATGAAAAAGTCACAATCATGAATTCAATTAAATTAACTAGTATAGCGGTTACATCCAAAATCCTAGATTAAATAATTTAGCTACACATCATCTCAAAAATAAATAAAACAATAAAACCCGGGAGAGAGAAGTTGCAAAATTGAGTCGAGGTTGATAAACTCTTACTTCGTTCCCCCTCCAATTATGATGATGCGCGTAAAGGATGATGGAGGCGTGAGTTTTGGAGTTGGAGGAGGGCTGCGTGAGAAGTTTGGGTTTTGTTTGGTGCGTGGAGGTGTGGGTTTTGGACGTGGGTTTCAAGGCTGATGGTAGGTGATGGGTTGATGATGATGATTAAGGTGATTCGTGAGGTGAAGAGGAGAGGTGTGATGGTGGAGGTGATGTGCGTGGGAATGGAGGGTTGATGGAAGGAGGTGAAAATTGCAGTGGTTCGGTGGTGCAGGATTTTTTCTCCGTCTTTAAAAATAAAACCCTAATCCTCTTTTTATAGACTTTCCTCAAACCCTATTTCTTCAGTAATAAGAAAGTTATTTTTTTTTTCAAGCCAATTTAAATTAAAATTCCTCCAACTCTTCAAGTGCTTCAATTTCTTCCTTTGAGTTGCCTTTATCTTCATTTTAGCCCAAAATCTCAACAATTCTTCCATTTGAGTACAAAACCTACAAATAAAGATAAATCATATAAATAGCATATTTGTACTCAAAATATATTGCAAAAATCACAAATTAGGGATATAATAAATAGGTAAAATACAAGCATATCAAATACCCCCAAACTTGAATTATTGCTTGTCCTCAAGCATGTCCAAAAATTAAAACAAACAAAAACATTAAATTATTTAATTCGGTGGCCTCAGAGACTTAATATCATATTACACAAAGACCTCGACTACCTCTAATATGCACTACCTAACAAAATGCAAACTATAGCTACTTTTAGCCCCCACGCTTGTGTGTGTGTGAGATTCGTTTCATAGGGACATCACTTTATATTTAACATAGAAAACAAAAGCTCTACTGCAAATATGCCATATATTAACACTTTAACACAAATTCACAATTTATACCATATTTCAATGCAATGGACCGCCAAACATACTATGAAGTAGAAGGACTTATCTCACAGACAACTTATTCTCCCTCGTAACCCATTCTTCGGTCCATACGGCTTTCCTTCAGGACTCTTTCCAACTTAGGCCACTACCCAGAGCATTTTTCCACTCCTATATATAGTGGCTCAGCAATTTAGGGCAGTCTATATATCTATTTTTTCTCAATGGGCTAGCATCAACATTGAATGCTCTTCCTTTCTCCCTCATTAAATTTAACCTAACCTCAGAAGCATCCGCCAACACCCTTCCCCCAAACTTACTTAACACAAAGTGTCAAAGCAATAAGATTTTTTAAGGTTGATATTGGGTTAATGCCTTGCTTTTCCTTCACAACATGATAGGTTCCACATACAAATCATATAAGTATGAGTGAATCAAACACAACTTTTCATGGCATATCTACATCAAATTTATGCAACTATATCTTACTTTAGGCTTATCCCACAGTCACGACTAAGTGCATATAGAGCAGGGTATTCAAAGCAACATATAGAAATACATAATTTAAGTAATACAATTCAAAATAGTCTAATTCTTACATGCTATAGATAATCAAACCAACTTCATCATAGGCCTTTTTTGAGTTTTTCAATTTTTTCAATTTTTATGGTTTTTGTTTTTTTTTCTAATGAAAGATAAACACAAAACACAATATTCCTCTCCCCCACACTTAAAGCATACATTGCCCTCAATGTATAAAACACAAAAGACAAGCAACCAAGTGAAAAGAAAAGAAAACACAAATTAAAAAAATGAAAAGAAACGACACAACCTTGGGAATGTGAAGCAGAAAACGGAAATTGTTGAAGTTGAAGAATAAAGAGATCTGCTGCATAACCATCCAAGCATTTTCCATTACCATTTATTCTAGAGAGTAGCTGCCACACATAAACAAAAACAATGGTAAATTTTATCAAGTAGATGATTAAGAAAAACCACGAAAATTTAGAAATCAAAGATTTCCAAATAGTCAGGAACAAAAAACTCAACCATCACTTATTCATGAAAAATAAAATAAAATAAAGCAAAATAAAATATTGGTTGCCTCCCAATAAGTGCTGTTTTATAGTCTTTAGCCGGACTCCATGGCCAATCAGTCAGAGTACCCATCTCGATTCCAGAAGAAACCATGTTCAGCAGTAACAATGAATCTCTTGTAGTGGTTCTCCTTTCCATGAGAAAATCTAAACTTATACTCCAACACTACAACATCTTCTTTCTCAAATTCAATCTTGTACCATTGATCCTCTCCTTGGTTTTCCATTGAATCAACTTTCACATCATCCACACTATCTCTTATACTATGGACAACCTCGCCACATGTGTCTACTTCAAACCCTTCTTTTGAAACTATAAGAATATTCTGGTCATTGAAATCAACTTGATCCACATCCTTGTCACCAACTCTCAGAATGAGCGAATCATGCTTAACTACTATGTATATACCAGAAGAATCAGGAGAACTTGGAATATCTGGACTATTAATCTCTTTGGTCTCTTCTAATTCTTCACATTCAAGCTCAGTTTGAGATGGTGGATGGGGAGACTGGACCAATGAATCATCTTCAGAAATCTTCTCATTCTCATTCAATTTAAGCAAATTTCCTATAGGATCATATTCCGGTGACCCCACACGCAACCTATATTGATTGACCTCTTCGATAAGTTGTTGGCCCTTTGCACTTTGAAAATCTCGAAGAGCTGCCTCTCTAACACTAAGTTGAGGTTGAGCAGGTGGCTGTTAATACGAAGATCCTAACTGTCTCAAAGTGGGTTGACAAGATGATGATTGTAAGGGTGGTAGCTCTCTTAGAGTAGGTTGACGAGCTGCTAACTCTCTCAGAGTAGGTTGACGAGCTGCTAACTCTCTTAGAGCAGGTTGACGAGGTGGTAGTTGTAAATCTGGTAGCTCTATAAGAGTAGGTTGAGCTTGTGGTGGTTGATATTCAGATGTGTTGGAATAATAACAATCCTCTTGAGAGAAATTTGAAACATTTTTCTTCTCGATGTCAT